AGTCAGCAAATACCATTATAGCCCCCCTTTCTTCGTGTGATTGTTTTTCAAAGCCCCACCTACTCCCCCCAAGGCATAATTAATGAACAGTCCCTTACTTATGTAAGCACGCTGGGAGTTGTCGAGCACGAGAGAAACAAAACTTTAGTTAAGGAAAACGAGGCGTAGTCAAGTGTTTCTCTTGGTTTTCGAGTGCTCTACTGCTCCCATGGTGCTTATATCAAGTAAAGGGATATTGGATCCCGATACAGAGATTTAAGCAGCCGTTTTATACGTTTTATATGTTGCGCACTCGATCATATATTGGCATGTTAGACTGCGCAATATTAAGTAAATAAATATTATTATTATATATGTTGCTTTAAAATTCTTTTAACGATTTCGCTCGAGCGTGTTTCTTTACTCTGATATGAACACGGTAAACATTGCGATCAACGCGCTTTGTATCCGCCAATATTTTCTTGATATATGTGGTTAAATAAAATATTTAAGCAAAGTTAGACTTGAACTAAGTTGCCTGTTATCGCAAGTATCTGTCATCAAGAGGCTATAGCTTCGCGGCCATCTGATAAGCAAATTAATGTCTCACGCAATGAGATGAATGATGAACAGATGGTATCTGGGGACGAGGCTTGCATCGGGTGCTATCCAATTTCGCTAACGCCACGTGCTATCCGATTTCGCTAACGCTATGCGCCATATCACCCACCCAAGCACCAACGCCAAGCTCATCTACGTGTGATGAGTTTAAAGATAATAAAATATTTACTTGTTTGATTAATAACGGAATCCAGGAAAGTATATATACTGATGATCTCATGAAGTTGGTGCAAAGCTTAAATGGTTGTTATGAAAAGAAGTACAATGATATAATAAACAGGTTTTAAAACAGCGGATATATGCGTCGATATTGATATATTGAACATAAAAAAGGGAGCCCCCCAACTTAGGGCTATTATCACAAAAGAATAATCAACAGCAGCAACAACAACAACAGCAGCAACAACAGCAGCAACAACAGCAGCAACAACAGCAGCAACAACAACAACAGCAACAACTGAGGAAGCAACAACGACAACAGCAACAATTACAGCTGAAGCAACAACAACAACAACAACAACAAACGTCAACAGCAACAACAACAACTATACCATGCCATAAGCAGCACAACTACAGCTAAAGCAACAACAA